GCTACTTTTCTTGTTGTTAAGGTTTATATACGTAGGTTTAATAAGGAATTTGTGGTTCTTTCATGACTTGTTCCTTCGCTGGCCCTGACGGTTCAACAAAATACTGTTTAACAATGCTGTTTACACTGTTAAATGTATGATAACCCTGCTTGTCCATCAGACGGCTCCTTGTGGTTACAGATGTAAAGTTGATGCCAGAATTCTTCAGTAACAAAGTCAATATGGGTTCTTGATGTCAGACGAATTGCTTACTGACTCACTTCTGACGTCCAAAGGTTGGTTTTGGACAAATTCATTTTTGAAGTTTGCTGAGAGACTGTGGGATGCATTTTTGTTATGCTTTCCGAAATATATCAGTTTCAACTGTAGGTCCCCGGTGCTCATCTCTTTTCTAAGCGTCTCTTGTTTCCTCACAGTATAGAGTGTCTTTGATGAGCGATAAAGCGCTCTGGTTGCTGAAATCGGTCTCCTGGTGAGTAAAGTTCCACTGGAATAGGTGTGCCCCGACTTTATGTCTTTTTGTGTTGCTGATGACATCTCAGCAAGATGCTGTGTGTGAAATGCAACCGTTCCTGTATCTGAGAGAAAAAATTTGATTTGAGAGTTATTCAAAATGCTTTGACTATGATTCACAGTTTTATTACGGGATAAAGTAGCAAATGTCAGGTTGTTAACCAGTTGTTCCCTCACTCCAGAACCGGAATGCTTGGTAATGTTTGGCTGACTGATGTCTTTGTTCAGCTTTTCTTCTTGTTCTCCCACTGACTGTCGATGTAAACCGGGTAATGAAGTTGTAAATCGAATGAAATCTAAAGCAAGCCTCTCTATACTAAGCGAGTCTGAGGAGCCAACAGGTGACAGTGCAGGCAGAGCCACAGATTTCTCGGTGGACAGCGCTCTTCGATCTTTTTGACAGGTCAAACACAAGTTTGTCAGGGTGTTTCCACTCACTGAGTCTTCTGCTGTATCGCTTCGGAAGATGGATTGCACTGTACCGAACGGATACTCATTTCCTCCCAGGTTTGAAATGCCCTGATCATCCTTCCCTTGACATCGTTTGTTGTCATTGTCATTACGCAGCACAGCCAGGTTATCAATTACATGAGAATGAGATGCAGATAGGATCGGAACTCTCGGCCCTCTGTCAGCAGATGTGAGAGTAATAGAGTCAGTGTTTCTCTGATTCCTGTTATCAAGCAGAGTGTGAAGCCAAAGAGAGGCTTTCACTGCCTCTGCAAACGAATAAGCCTCTGGCTCAGAGTTGCCATTCATCATTGATTCAAATGCAGCTTGTGTGGACGAGAAAACGACCTGGTCATAATTAGAAATCATAGGGATTTCTGATTCAGTGTGAATCCTCATAGCTGATGAATTATCTCTTGTTGATTTGAGAAAGTTTTTCCCATTGCTGGAAACAAAACCGCTCGTTGAGGCAATTTTAGCCGATGCTTTTGGGATTCGTGTTCTCTCATACAATGGTATTGGTTTGGTGTCAAACAAGACCACCTCTGGAAACGTGGCAGTCACTGACACTGCAGTGTGCGGTTGTGTATTCTCTGTAGGTATCGCTTCTGTGCCATGACCAATTGTGTTTTCCTTTCTTTTGTGACACTTGTGTCTTTTGTTTGTTCAGTGTGGTAACCCTTTTCCGCCCGGACTACAAAGAAAAAACCAACATGTCACACATGCTGTACAATATTTCTAGAGTTTACACACATTAGTGTATGTTAAAATGTAACATAATTTAAACATTAACATTTACTCACATTATACAAACATTACATCAGATACATTGATATTTAACACATTTAAGAGTCAGGTCATTGCACAAACTACTAACTCAATTTTAACCAATCGGATGTGTTTCTAAGACTGTTTTGATGATTGAAGGGAGCAGTCTTGCCTTCACTCGATTTGTGCTCCCTCAGTGACTGTGAACACTTGGAAAGAGTGTTAGCTGAAGAATTAGGATGCTCTGTAATTAGACAGTATTTTTAGATGTCTGCATCTACATCAAGCATTAAAGCTACAGTACAAACACGGTAGTCCGCTGGTAGACAGAAGGAGTAACAATAAGATGAAAAATAGTTAGCAGTTCTGGTTATTGTGTATCTGTAAAACTTTGAATATCATGCATCCCCAGAATAAACTATGTAAATTATAGCAGGGATTTTGCAAATGTTGCTGTAATGTCCTTGACAGTAAACTGATGGTTTACATTCATACCTCCACAGGGTACTTTTAATCATTTGAACCCTGTTGTGTCTGATGTAAAGTCGATGGAATGATGTTGACACCCCTTAGTGTGTGACTGATGGCTAAGATATAAAATGTTTGAGTTGAGATGTTTTTACTGTTTATTGTAGCACTAACATCAGACAGTTTTCTAATTAAATGACTTTGAGTGCGTCTCATTGTGTCTGTTATCAATTTAGATGATGAAAACACAAGATACTATAAAACATAGAAGAAATGATTGAAGAGAGTGTGGGAGGCAACCAATTATATAAACACTGTTGTATGCACTGAGTTTTTCTCTACAGGATATACTGATATGACACAGTAGTAGTAGTAGTAGCAGTAGTAGTAGTAGTATAGTTCAAGTTTTAAGGTTAATTTTTTGCTGTATATTCATATTTTTATGCAAAAGAAAATAAGAAAAAAGAAAAAATCCTCAGCATTTTGTGTCACTGTTAATAAATAAACTACCAAACTAAGTTAATACTGTACTGCAACTAAAAAAATAAACACAAACAATGAGCACATACCTGTAAGAAGGACAAATCCTAGTGTGAAACAACAAAAGCTCCTCATTGCTGTTCAGTCTTGTTTACAATCACTCAAGTCCCAGTGAATGAGTGTTTACTGTTTAATCCATCCGAGCAGAGGGTATCAGTTGTTTGCAGCCATGCTCAGATGGCGTCACCCTTTACAGGGAGCTTTTGTCCTCTGCAGTTCATTTAGACATGGATTAGATTTCTCACTGCAGATACTACGTAGTCACGGATACAAAATATCTGGAGCACATTAACAATTTACCTCTCAATTTGATATATTAATTTATGGTATAATTATGATATTGAGAAACTGCATCAAAATTGGTACAGATTGTTGCTAACCTTATGGACATACAAATTAGGGCACACCTTCGCATCTGCTCTTCAAATCAGTGATTCAAGAAGTTATTTGTAGGGACCTGAAACCCTTTATGACAAACATCTTAAAGTGAGTTGCTGCAAAATACTCTTTTATTTAAACCTGTATGCTTAAACTAAATGTCTCAATGTCAACATGTATCAATTGTAGTTCAGCCTGTTAGCATGGGAACATTAGATAATTTGCACCAAAGTACAGCTGAGGCTCATAGGAGTATCATTAGTATTGCAGATATTGGCTCTAAATCAAAGTAACTGTAACATTAACATTTTGACCAGAAGATGAGGCAAGAGTTAAATGATGAAGTTATATTCATTCTGTAAAGGATATGAATGTTTGTACTAAATTTAATGGCAATCCATCCAATAATTATTGATATTTCAATCAAAACCACTGATGTGAACCTAATGGCACTAGAGGAAAAGTCAAGAGATCACCAAAGTCATCTTCTGAGGACCATAAATGTCTGTACAACATAGTGTGCCAATCCATCCTGTAAATGTTGAGATATTTTACTGGATAAATGAAGTGTGCTAATGTTAAAGGGAGAGGTTTATCAAAGCCATTAGGATATCTGGAACATGTCATGGCATTCGTTGAGATATTTTACTAAAAAACAAAATATCCACCATGTGTAGCAATTTTTGGGACATTTTATGGAAAATTGTTTTTAAAAATAGTTATTTCTGTTTGGATGAAAGTGGTGGAGTGACCAACAGAATGGAATTGCCACTCCCAACTATGGCACCGCAGCTAAAAATTCCATATGGCCTTTTTACTTCCCTCCTAAGATGTAATAACACGGTGGCTGAAATTGTTGTTTCAAAGAAATTCGATGCCATACTTCTCTGCAGAGCTTTCTAATCCCAGTTTTGTGAATAATTGCACATACTCACAAACACACACTAACTCACCCGACCACAACCTCTACACTGTCAGACCTTTTCATGTGGGGGAAAGCTAAAATCATTCCAATTCCACTTGTCTCTCCCAGTACAAATCTGCATCACAGTGGGTGTGTAAACATTACAGAGTTATATCTCTGACCTTCTCATAGTGGCCTGGCTCAACATTCAAGTAGTGAGAGCAGCACTGTGGTGCAGTGGTTAGAGCTGTTGTAGCACAGCAAAGAAAAGTCCCACATTAAATTCCAGTCCAATTCACAGCCCTTTCTGTGAGTATACAAGTCATCCTCATATCTCAAAGACATGCAGATTTAGCAGACCTTAGATTTAGTCTAACTATAAACAGTCTTTAAAATGCGTGGTGGTGGGTGTGGATGAGGGGCCCAATTTGGAAAACTGTGTCCCCCTGAAGAATCCAAACCCAGATGACAAAGAAGTTTTTGTTTTTTAAATCAGTAACTGCACCTTTTCTAAATAAAAAACAAAAATAAACAAAGTGACCACACTGCTAAAGAACCAAAAAATAAGAGCTATATACCAAAGGCTGACATGAAGCAAAATCACCTTTTAGGATACACAATTATATTAGAGCTTGGAGGTATTACATAGAGGTATGGCTGAGATTTGCCAGGAATACTAGCTGTTAGGCTTGCAGTATGCTACATAATTTGCATTTAGCATAGTTCTTCATGGTAAGACGTTGAAGACAGTTGAGTGAGTGCCCCTATGAAAAGACTTCAACCAAAGGGATACAACGCTCTAATCTGTCTCTCACTTCAAATCCCATCAGTATGTTAAATGCTGCCTGATCAATATCTGTTCTTCAGAATCCAACAATTACAGGCATTACTGCACATGGACCTCCATCCACACGTATTCATGGTAATTAACCACATAAATTCACATTGCATGAGAAATAATAACACACAATAAGGTTGGTAAAGTTGATAGCCTTTGTTTATGTAGATGAACCAATTAGGAGCAGAATATAATTCTAATGAAATAGATATTTGGATATTCTCAAGACGTCAAAAAAATGAATAGCAATTAAAAACGAGAGTTTTAAAAAATAATTCTAAAGAAGAGAAAAGGGAATTATATGACTTTTATTTTTTGCTTTACATGTTGGTCTTTATGTCTAGGCCCAAACAGACTACAGAGGAGAACAAGGAGATTATACAATGTGCTATAGAGTCTATGTAATAAGCTTCAAACAGGAGTGCAGGATCTCAATGCCATGAAGTTCTCGAAGTTTGTTCATATGTCTGGAATTGAAGAAAGCAGTTTATTAAAAGAAAACAGTGACAGTGTGTTCAGTGGGCTGGCATTCAATTGAAACAGCACTTGTGTGAACTAAAGAACACATACTCAACACAGTCACAGCAGAGCTTTGTAGCCTGAAGGTACAGTAAAAAAAAATGTTCCTAAAAACAAAGAGACATGTTTGTTGCTGCCTTCTTCCATTATTCAGGGCGGTACAACACAACAATTATCCTCACAAAATCAGAATGGTGCTGCACTATATGGAAGATGGCCTCCAGCAGCAAAACATCATTGTGTAGAGAAATAATAGATGTTCACAGTTGAATTTTACACTGCAGTACAAATAAAACCCCTTAATAAAAAACAATAAAGAGAAATACTGAACTTAGGAGCTATTATAAACTTGTAGGTTATGCAGACTTGTAGCTTTTGTGTAATACTTACATGGAATATGTAGTTGCATTTTGCATAAGATGTTTAGTAGAGCTGGCCCAAATACCAAAGGGCCAAAGGGTATACAGTGTATTCAGAAAGCATTCACTTCTTTCACATTTTGTTAATGTATGCTGCAGCCTTTGTTAAAGTCATTAAAACATTTTTTTGCCAATGTATTAAAACTAAAAAAACTGGAATGTCACACTGACTTAAGTATTCAGACCAGAGGCATGAAATGAGAGTAGAACTGCTTGCCGTGGTCAGTTCACTCGTAAAAAAGAAAAGGGCACACAGAACTATGCTTCGACCGTAGTAATAGAATGAGATAGCCCGCTAACGGTCGCTGCTCTGGCCATCCCGTTATGTAGGTCTGCATGGGATGGATGTTTATAACCCTTTGTTGCACCTGAGGTATATTCAATTGATGGAAAAAAAGCACATTGAAAAAATATATCCAACAGAGAGCAATGTTGATGGACTAAATTAATAAGTTTGACAAAGCAATCAAACTAATTTAACAATAACTGCGGCCAGAACCCAAACCTCAGACCAATATTATGTCGTCAATCTAAAGCATTAGGTGCAATCAAGACATCAAGACATAGCTTAATCTGCTGCTGCCTATCAAAGTGCAAATATTAAGATAAATGTGGTAATGTTATGGCTATCACCTTGCTAGTTAGTCACACTGACTGCAGTAGTCAAAGTGGTGGATGTTTGCAGGAGAGATTTTTTTTTATATATACACTGTATATACTGATTTTTTTTTATGCAAATAAAAATAAACACGTATTACTTATATTTCAGGCCAGCCTAGGCCAGAAATCATACACTTGCGTAATGCGTGACAAACTCTTTCAACCAGAGCCATAACACTCGCATTATCTCATTTCAGTGAGACATTTCATCTCGTCTGTCGATGCTCCTTCAGGCTAGTTTCTAGAATGTAATCAGCAGCATGTGGTTTATAGAGTGAGGTGAGAGGGTACCTTGGATCGGATCGACACAGCTTTCCCAGAGCAATTGCTGCATTTTGTCGCACAGCTGTCCTCTTAGCGTCCCCTGCAGCATGGCGCAGCAGCAGCAGCACAATATCAGTGCCCAGCAGGGTGCTGCCAATTCCCTCCAATTCAAGGCAGTGGGCCAAGCACAGGGCTGCATTTCCTGACACCATCTCATCACAGCTGGAAGCCAGCAAATTACGTAAAATAGACAGTTCTGTGTAGAATGAAAAATAAATAGTGAATAAGCAAGGAATAGCATTTTTAAATGTATTAACATACACACATGCAATGACATGAAAGTCAACAGATATACAGCACACTGCACTCACATATGCAAATGAATGCACACACACACACACACACACTTCGTTTGCATATTGGGTCAACCCTAAAATATTATTCACAAACTAATGAGAGAGTTTGTAAAAGTAATGCTAACATGTCAATCATGTCTCACTTTTATCAGACTTCACCAGCTCCTCCCGTGCCAAGTGACTGGCAGCAGTGCACACTGTCAGAGTCTTAATGGCATACTTGGTGGCAGTCTGCCCTGTTCCCTGGGTAGGCAGACACAGAAATAACAATGATATTAAACAAGTTTAACGCATGTTTAAAAACTCAAACTTTATGTCTACACTTGGAGGTCAGAAAAACTGAACTGTAGTGGAATTGGTCGAAGAAAACCTACACAGTTTGAGTTGAAATATTAATATCAGTTATGTACTTTCTACAAATAAATGTAGTTGTTTTTTCATCAGCATGTTTTTATCATGTCTTTAGATCATGATGATAGGGAATGTTTAAGGATATATGTCGTCATGGGCTGTTTGATGAATAATTAATCCATTTGTAGATGTTTGGGAAAAAGAATATCATTCCAAAAGTCAAATACAAATGTGTTGATGTATTCAAATTGGCTATGTGTATAGTTATGCACCTTCAACAGCAAGCGCATGGTCCGGACCGCACCCCCCTGAATAACATGCTGAACGGCCTCCGGGGACTGAGGGAGGACAGTGCTCAGCACGCCTGTGGCTCTCTGGAGGACAAGAAGAATGTTGGCATTAGAAGAAAGAGAAAAGTAGAAGAAGAAAAACAGATGGGAAAACACAGCAGAGAAATAGACAGGATAGCAGAGGATCAAGAGAAAACTGCTGAGGTAGAAAGAAAGGTAGCAGAAAGAAACCCAAAACAGTTCTTAATGGACACAAAGAGAATTGGATAGTGTTGATGTAGGAGTAGGAAAAGAGAAAACTGCCTTTTCAAGATGTGAAATCAGTGGGTGTTGTGGAGTGTGTTTACAGCAATAAAGGACAGAATGTCAATTGTAAGCTGGTGAATGAGTTGCACCTAGTGAACCTGTCAAAGACGAGATGATAAAAAGAAAAGGCGAGAACAAGAACCACAAGAATAGAAACAAATATGAATTAGAGGTCACACATGCTTGCTTTGTCTTGCAGGAGGGATCTGTTGAGTCAAGGGTACAAATTACTAATTTGAGTGATGCCATTTTGTTAAAAAAGTAAGCCTCCCGTTTAACCACTGCAGCTTTCAGTTAAGTATCACTGATCTCACCAGCCACGTTCATAGCAGCAGCAGGCAGACATTTTTACAGAATATGCTCTTATTTTTCACTGCACACTGCCTTTCGAGTACCAAATGGAAGATAAGACCAAGATATTTTTCTAAGGAGTTGGTAGAGACCAAATCAGAGCTAAGGGGCTACCACATACTCAAACTACAGCTCCAATGAGATGGTAATGTCGCTTCATAAAGGGAAGTTTTAACAGCTTTTAGCCTGGTTCAAAATCTCACAATACTGACGGCCAATCTCAAGACACGCAATGCATTGTGGGGCAGTAGAGTATGTGCAGTAAGTTCATGTCTCATACACAGAAATTCTTGTTAATGTAGTAAACATTTCTTGCATACACAAAATCCATAAACTGTGCTGTGTGAATGCACTACATTCTTAATTTTACGTTAAACTTATGAATAGTATGTGACTATGCGATTTTGAACAATGCCATCCTCTCAAAAAAGCAATAATTGGGGCTTTAGGGCTTTGGTGTAAACTGTATGATGCTTTAAAGACGTACGAGAAATAAAGACAGGACAAGAAAAGACAATAGATCTTTTGTTTTTGTTTTTAAAGGATGTTGACAGGTGACAATGAAGAAAAAGTTCCAGCCACGCAATGAGAGAGCAATAAAACAAAAGAAAGAGACAGATGGGTGGAAGTGTGGGACTCTGAGGGCATTGCATATGCAGTGTGAAACTGCTGTAACAGCCATTAGCACAGACAACAGCACCTGGAGCTGGACTTTTAATCAACTGTAATGACACATATAGGATCCTCTGAACATTGTGTATTGCTGTTACCACCTTTTGGGGCACATTGCCAGTGAGCTTACAAGCCCCAGAGAAGGCCCGTTACTCAAGACAAATGTCTTTTATTTTCGCTGAGTTACCTGAAAAGATGGTTTTATGCCTTAAAGGATGTATGGAAGTTTGAAAAACAAACAAGAGAAAGTTTTCATCAATCGTCTTCAACAACTGTAAAGTACTAACATTTTTCAAACCTTTCTTGGTCCAACACACAGTATTACAGCCAAACATGAAAACCAAATGGGAGTTATGTATGATAGAGTAAGGCAACAACATATAAGAAGTGTTGTAGTTTTAAACCCTCCTGAATACTGTAGTGTAGTACATAGGTTATTTTCACTTACAGTTATCACTCCTCCATCACTATCCCTCAGCAGGCCCAGGCAGCAGTTGCAGATTGAAACAGCATGCTCCTACAGAAACGAGACGGGGCACGTGGCTAAACCAATTGTCACATACCTTTCACCTCTGAATAGGTGGCATCACACATCATGCTCCCCCTTGGCTTTATATATGTTTTACAATACAGAATATTTTAAAGTGGCATGGAGTGAATATTCTGTCAAAACATACAATTCTATCAAGGGGCCCCCCAAACTGAATGATAATTCTGCTCAACCTTATCTAAGACACAGTATCAGTTAGTACACTTCCCACTATTAAGATAAGAAGAACTAAGACAAATTAATTTTTACACTCATAAAACATACCCATGCTTAACTGAAACTCCACCCCAGGCAAAGTAACTATCATACACAACCTTACTCACCTGAATGATTGGCGAGGTGATAGCTGAAAGGTTGATGATCAAACCAAGCAGAGGGTAAATTACCTCTTTGTATTCACATGCACTGCACTGCCTCTGTAATGATAGCAAACAGATTCTACACTGAATAAAATGCATACAGTGAGTTTAAATACCAGCTTAACATTTTTATAATATCCAAGACAGACTATATCTATAATATCTAATTGTGCCATTCAGACTAAACGGTTGTGTTTTATTTCTTTATCCAGGTGCTGGCATCTGAATTCAACTCTATGAACAAATGTTTGTACTTTTCTATGCAAAGAGACCAGTCTGTAATGATACTGACAATGGCGACAGCAATAGCCTTCCAACATTCTGGATCATGAGCAAAGCTGTGGCAGATGACGTCATCTCGAGCCAGACAGCCAATAGCCGATATCAGCGACGCAAGGACATGCCGATTGGACTCGCTGACATTTCTCTGACAAAAGGAAGAAAACATGTGTGCACATTTGCCCACAGACACACACACATAAACACACTTATAGATATGCAGTGCATACTTTATATTTATATGAAACTTTGTATCTACATATCTTACCAGTAATGTTGTAAATGGCAGAATGACAGAGTCTGTCAACACGTCCCTTAACTGAATGCAAAATCTGTAAGAAAATGTGAAAATATTTTTACTGTACATGTAAGATAGACATACTATATAGATGGGTATTTATGTATAAACATACACAATGGTTCAGCTATTAAACAGAAGTCCGACGTAAAACCTCATGCTCATTGTTGTGTTACAATATTGATACTTGGGCGAGGAGGAAGCGAGTAAAGTTTAATCCTCAGTTTAAGTTCTTCACAGCCCAGCATGATACAAGTAGGCAGAACTCCACCAGGTGTGCCTGCAACGACTACATGTACAACCAGTGCTGTAAAGCGTCATCAAACAGACTTCATTCAAATAAAATACATTTCATACAATCATGCAAATCCACCAAGCTGTCTGCCCGCTTAGCAGCGGCTGAGTAGCAGCATGGTACAGCAGTGTGTGTACTGGTAGTTCTGTTAGCTAAACACACCGTCCAAAACAATAACAGTGTGCAAACTGTTTTCCCCACACTGTGTCTCTGGCAGCAGAGGAGCAACTGTGGGTCGGCGATGCAGTCAACTGGCGAGTCAGGAGTCAATGGCAGTCAATGGCAGTATAAAACAGCTAATAAAAGGTGTTTTTAGAAAATGTGAGTGACCGTAACCAAGACAGATCCTTGAGCATGCAGCCATAACTGGGCACCCAAAAGATTATGGAGTTTGCTGCAGCAGAATGCGAGATTAGCTGTGAAAAGACACAGAGGTGCTCACTCACTCAGTCACGGATGCAGAGACTCACACAGTTACACACACGACCGAACACTTAACCTCTCTATGGAATTTGGAACGGTTGTGTATTACTTTTGTACTAAAATATCCTTAAAAGCCGAACATTGATTCTGCGGAGCTTCAACACTAAAGAAAGAAACCCCTGCAGGATATAACACATTTTTGTTGAGTAACTCTCTTTGAGCTTTAGACAACGAAAATTGATCTGCCCATTCCACTGCTTGACACCTCGACTTATTTCCTGCTGTGTCGGAGAGCCTGGGTTATCCTTCCATGTCTTGTTTTCATGAGGAGCCAGAGATGAAAACAGGTTGAGAACGGCCTTTTGCCTTCAAGTGACATTAACACTTGTATAGCACATGTTAAATTATTAAAGATGCCACACTTTCCATTTCCCATACTGACATGATCAGATGGTGGAATTTAAAGTACTTTTAAATATATATAGGTATGCGTCGATAATAGGCTGTCTGGTGGGTCATATTCTGAATTCTGCAGAGTATCTGAAAATATGTATTTCCTCGTCCAGAGATAAAATATATCATTTCCTAGGGTGTGAGGAGAGCTACTCTGGTGTTTGTGTATCAGTAATACTTGTTTTCTGCTGCAAAGTTCTCCAGAATGTTGACTGCTGTATTCTGCTGCTGCTTTGGCTTTGAGATGCACGCCATGAGGTTCCTCACTAACCTTTGGACCCAGATTAAGAATAGAGAAAGATAAAGAAAAAGAGAGGGGAAAAAAAGAGAAAGAGAGAGGGATACAAAGAAAAATATATCAGTACAATATATTCATTCTTCCTAATTTTCTGAAAATCAAATTAGCTGCAGCTCAGATATTATCAGACATGCAAATGATAAGAAATCACTTAGGCCACTCAGTGTAATTGATAAAACTATGTCCTACAGTAATGATATACAACATTTATTGGTTCCTCTGCCCTGAAATCTCATTAGATGGAAATTAGACTGACAATCACAAACATATGGCCAGAGGCTGACCACTAATTTCATTCAATAAAACGACGGCAAATGAAAGTCATTCAACTACTCAGTAGGGATGTAAAGAGCCAAAGGAAATAGTATTATACGTAATTTGATTCATTAGAACATACATACATTGAGCCTACCATCGCTGTCTACATACTTAAGTGTATTTTTACTCCAGCTATGTGATCTCATCAGTTGCACCTAATGACAACAAAAAGGAATGTCTTACATTGGCACATCCAGGTTGTCAATGGCCAAAAGTCTTCCATGTGGCATCCGTGAGTACACATTTAGTAATTCCAGGCATTCTTCCTGCACTGCAACATGCTCCGATGTTATCAAGTGCACAATGGACTGTCTGGTGAGTGGGAATGTCATCAACACTTTCTGGTTTTCATCTGGAAGCAAAAGGAAAACATGGTATATATACAAAGAATGAGCTCATTAGACTGTTATGCTCCCAAAGAACAACAACCTAGTCTGTACACAATGACGTGAATGTTAGGTTGCTATACTTGTGTTGATACTGAAGAAACGCTTTGTTTTTCATATGGAATTAACACGCACACACACAAACTGTTTAAACAAAGCATCAAAGTTGGCACTCGCACTTGATGTGCGGAAGCACACATAGCTTGTGTCATTTAAAGTACAATACAGGTTTGACAAAAGAGAAGGTTTAGTATCACATTGTCATGCCACAATGCAATAATAGAGGATTATATTAGTATCCTAATTCTTTCTTTTTCCTCTTTTTCCTGCTAACTCAATGAGAGCAAATTGCTACAAATGAACACCATACCGTTTCCACAACAAATAACCCTCCATGATTTCAGAGCAGACGCACACAACTCCTGGCTGTCTGGATCCTTCGTTTTCTGCAACAGACAACTGCAGAGAAAATAAAATGCAGTGGTATTAGCATAGTTCTCTTCTAATTAACATAATACAAATCAAATTGAAATAACACTGTCAAATAATGAAAATATTACGTACATGAAAGTATGCCAATAAATATGTATCTCAAAACAACACAAAGGGTGGAATGTAAATTAAAATGACAATAACAGAACGTAGCATATGAAACAAGTCCAATATTTACTAATGGTAAAATATGTGTTAATTATACCAGGTAGCAATTCCACGCAATCCACAAGACCAAGATGCTGATACTACACTTGAATGTCATAATGCACTTTGCCCTTCCATTTATCTACATTTGATGTAGGTAGCATGTGAGTGATGGCCACTAAGGAGCTTGCAATACATATCACTGTTGTCTCTGCCCTGGAGAAGCTTGTATGTGCTGCTACTTGCTTGCTGAAGGCAATTGCCAGATTTCCTATTTTAATATCTATTAGATGTTAATTTAGTTCTCTCTGTTTCGGGAACACCCTGATCACATTCACATCAACTACACATTCACACCTGGAAACTGCTCACTACAACCACACGCTGCAGCTCCACTGGAGCAGCTGGGGTTGAACTCAAGGGCACCTCAGTGGTGTAATGATGAATAATGGTAACTTCCCCAACCAGATTTATCCTTATGGTCCGGGGAATAGAACTAATGGCCATTCCACTTCTCTAACCTATAGGCCACCACTGCCCTACAGGGTGGACCTTGAATTTCAACGTTTCAGTTTTTGTCCTCGTTGTCAAAAACCCGTTGTCGAAGTTAAAGAAAAAAGTGCTTATTTTTTGGCTCACAGCAGTATCCTTGTTGGCTATTTTCACAAGGTTCAGATTGCCATTATGTTGCATTCTTTGTTCTAACTTGAATAATGACGGTGCTAACTATGGACTACGTGGAAAGTGTTAGTTAGACGAGACAAGTTAATGATAACCTTACGGATCTGACACGAGGGATTCAAAATGTGTATCTTGTAAAAAACACCCCCTCTTTCAGGGACAAAACACAAGACCTTTGTTCATTTCAGCACTCATCTCAACCTACAGTGTGATTATCTTTTCCTCTTTGGGCTATTGCACAAACAACCAGAGAGAGAGAGAGCGAGGGAGAGAGCGAGAGAGAGAGCGAGAGAGAGAGAGAGAAGGGGAGGGAGGAACTGAGAATGATCGCTCTAGTTTAGGCCATCATTGTGTCTGTATGCCCCTTCTCTGGGTCCATCTGTCAAAGCTCCACTGAGGGCTGACAGCTACCTCTCCCTCTGGTCTCCTTACCTTCTCACCGTGTCATTGCTGCTGATGATACTAAAGCCATTGTTCAGTCTGAAAAGGGTCTGGGCTGTACCTGTTAAAAAAGAACAGTAGATAGTGTAAGAAGACAGAAAACTACATATCATTTTAGTTTTGCTTGCATTGTTCACTGGTTTACAGTCAACAGCACACTGGTAAAGAATATATAAAATATGTTGAGAAAAGGAGGAAGTTAAAGAATGGTGTATTTTCCACTTATAATGAGTTGGGCATACAGAAAGTAGAGCAGGGCAGTGAGGGAACACTTTTAGGGGAGAAAGCTGGCGATGTCAGCCCTTAAGAGATCCTTTCAGTTGTGTGTTATGTAAGTTTTGCCCTTTTCAATTGAATGGCACTCTGAGACAGACATAATTTGACAGTACATTTTTATTCATCTAAATGAAGAAAAAAGAGTGATTGGGTAAGGAATGTTTGCCATTCTGCAGTGGACAGCCAGTGCAAAGAATATGGATTAGTACAAATACTAATACAAGTTAAAACTAAATTTTTCTTAGCTGAAATATATTACTGAGTGGGCCATTGACCTTGATGTACTGCTAGGTTGTTTTACAAAAGCTCTGATTTCTGCCTTTTGGCAATAGCTAACGAGTTATATCAAAAGTGTGGAGTTTCAAAGTCATTTCTTGCGTCACAAACATTTACAAAAATATCAGCAGCTGACGGCGGAGGGGTGAACAACCTGGGGGAGAGCAGCTGCTGCCTGTCTACAATGGCCCCTTTTCATACAGTAGAGGACTTGGTAAACAAATATTGAGCAACATCTTGTGCACAACACATTTCCAACAAACACAAGATCACCATTCTGTAAGGGCATGTTGCTGCTAATCCTGTTTGGTTTCATTCATCTGAAGCATTTTGCAACAAGTACTGTGCTAGTTCTAAGCTAAAGCTTGACATGATTTGTTGCCTGCAGCCATTTCCTTCATGTTGCAGTATAGGGGATTTGCTGTCTATTGTATTTTGTGCTACTTTGATGAACAGTTTTGGTGTGGACCAATACTCTTTAACTAAGTTTAATAAGGTATTTTTTTCTTGATCAGGGAGGCTGCTAGAAAATAGAATATACAATACATAAGCTTAGATAACCCCTAGCATGCTCCAGGGCCACTGTTCATCTATAGCTCCTCAGGCTAGCCTGTCATAAATCAACAAAGCCAACGGACAGGCACTAGCTACACACTCTAAATGTGTCAGGAATGAGTGCAGGTAATGCCACTGAGGTTCTGGAATGGACACCTGCTATCACAGGTGTTTCATTCAATTGCACCCAAGACAACCCCAGAAGGCATAATAGTGTTAGCTGTCATCCCATAAAAATCCCCCTGTTTGTCTGCTCAAAAACACCAAATACAACTTACAATGCCTACACAGCCCTTCACTAACAGCTATTACAAGACCTTAAAGTTCATTATTCAGTACAACATCACTTAACTGATGGAACAGCTAATGCTGCTGGCTCGGAACAGCCCACTCAGCAGTTCAGCAACCAAATTACATCATCATTTATGCACCGTATAATTCCGATAACTGATAAGTTTAGAAACAGATCCCAAATCAAATCATACCAGCACTGGAGGTTTCACTTCTCTCCAGGTATCACCAAATAGTAGACAACTTATTTTTATTGATTGATTATGGAATAGAAATATGAATAATTTTGTTCAGCACAGCAATTTTCATGCAGTTGTTAGTGTTACATTGTTTTATGTATACCTATCATCTGCACAATGGCCAATCACACCAGGCAGGAGTTTGTGCTCTTTCAGTGTGGCTTTATACTCTATATTGGAAATGTGCTCACTGTGACAAGCAAATGGAGCATGAAGAGAAATCAGTGATGGACAGCGTTATGTGTCCCCTTTCGTCTGCTTGACCTGATACATTGCCCTAAAATACTCGCTGTGAGTTCTTAAAGGAATACTTCACCCCCAAAATGACCCTTTGTATATTAATTACTTATCCCGTGCTACCTTTTTGTGAAGACAACTTTGCTCTTCTTGCATGCCTCCATGGTGAACGAATACGAAAACGAAGAAAAGTCCCGATGAATTAAAGTAAATGGAATAAACAGCAAAACTATATCAAAACATCCATTTATAAACTCTTAGACCATTCGAGCAGTATACTCTAAATCTTACTCATCCAGTTACACGCTCACTACTTCCCAAACACATCTTCACAAAACCGTACTATTTAAAACACTTTAACTTTGTGTGGACACGTTACTCATCCAGACACGCACAGACGTGTAGTTTGTGTTCCTGTTTTAGCTTGATTTAGCCTGTTTTAGCGTAAATGCATGTGTTTGGGAAACAGTGAGCATACATACATACATTTTCATCAGTTTTTGGATTCTTCGATCACCATGGAGGCATGCAATAAAAACAAAAGTTTTCTTAAAGAATTCAAGATAACAGGGTGAGTAATTGACATATAAATGGTCATTTTGGGGCTAAAGTATTCCTTTAAGTACTGTATTCGTAACCTTCCGTAACCTTCCTACCCTAAAGGCTGATCTTTTTCTGACCATTTTAGTGATATTTGTGAAAATACAGTAGGTAGACCAGTGAAGCAGGTTAAGGTTAGGTAAATGTAGACACAGAGAGATTAAAGCAGAAAGATAATTGTGCAAACATTTTCTCAAACACACTCACAGTCAGTAACTGCTTGTGACAGAATCTCCAATCCTCCACAGTAGTACAAGGGAATCTGGCCAGGCCTCGCCAACTTCTCCAGCAGCTGAGGCACTCTTGTGTCATTCCCCTCTCCCTTGTCAAACTCTTGCCTTGCATTCATCTCCTGACTCTCTCTTCCCTCTTCTAAATCAACCTGGGTCAGGTATTCTGCATGGAGAAAACAAGGGCGGTAGAAGAAGGAAAGAAAGCACAAAGTGTCATAATAGTGCAACAGCCATCCTGAGATGACCACCCCACTCGCCTATTGCCATAAACATGCACCACCTGAGTACGATAGGCATGCAGGTATTTTGCCTACTTAGGCAGTATTAGAAGTATTAGAAATGTAATACTGCACCTGATATGACAATAGCAAAGAGACTGCACAGTGGTGCATATATGCATGATTGAGCGCTATTTTCCAGTTCATAACTTGATGAATCATTTTCAAAGGTATTTGTATGAAACACAATTATAATGACTGAATGTGTCTTTTTTCTGGGCAACCGCATTGTGACATTAAGCTTTCGGTTGTCATGACAGTCTTGCAATTAAATGAGCTGAGACCACATAACTGACAACCAACTCAACGACATGTCCGCTATATACTTTTGATGGGCTCCCATCTAACCCATATGGTTTGACATAATACATTGCCAATTAAGGCAGTTATCACAAAAGGACTTGAATATATTAAAGTCTTTTCTAAACTAACCTCTTGGGGAAAAAAATATTTTCTTTACCTTTCACCATCTTCTCCATCACAGGTTCAATTTCCACAATCTTCTCAAAGCAGTTTCTGGACTAAAAAAGGGAAGAATTTAGTTCATCGATGGTTGTATGATGTGCATCATTGTGGAAATGGAAATGATTCGGGTCACTCCAAAAGTCTACAGTATCTCCGCACAAGAATTTGGCAAAAAGAAAACTATGATGATCTTTACAACAGGTGTATTACACAAATATTTTCACCAGCTATCAATATTAAATACAAGATTATGTTCCTGTGAATGGATTAAAATACCAATACAAAAATAGATTTTTGTGATTGCTGTGAGACTAGGACAGCTTTTATGCTTGCTATCTATTCCAGGCATACAACTTTCATTATGTTGTTTTTGCTATAGTTAGATGAGATGCTGTCTGTACACAACAGCAACGTGTAAAAAAACGTGATAAGATGTAATGATAGTAATTATTCTTACCTCCTTATATTTCTTTAACGCCTGATATGCTTTCCCCATGTGTAGGTAAGCCTTCATGCACCTCTCATTACACTAAGAGAGAGAAAATGATCAACACCAGCAAAGTAACAAATAAATGTTCAATCTGAACTTCAAAGGAACTCTCCACTTACAGAAAATCAACAGTGGCTTTATAGACATACTTCCACCAAAAACTTAAGTAAAATGATATTATTGTAAACTTGCATTTAGCTTGAGTGACGTAAATAAAACCACTCAACCCATTTGCCTACTAAACATATCTCCACTGAACTACAGGATTCACAAAGAGCGGTGCCTCTGATGAAACTATGAGGAATGAGGCAGCAACTGACTGACCTTAGTTCCCAGCTGGACCTTACCTTCAGGGCCCATTCACAGTCACTGATGGCCTCCTTGTACTTCCCCAGCTTGATGTAGGCCTAAGTAGATTTAAACATTAGACAGGCAGTAATAAAATAAACCTGGCCTTACAAAATAAAGAATGTGATTAGTAGTGTAGCATTGTTTGTTTATTAATATATCATAGCAGAGACTTTCAAGATGCTTGGTCTTTGAATATTGATTGTAGAATTAATTTAATGGAAATAATCATATTCAAATGAAGATAGCTGGCAATACTCAGGTTGCCTTGAGACATCTGTCAAACCAAAGGTTTCTGCTTTAAGTCGCTGTTATAGGCACACAAAAGCAGATCTGTTTTGATTCCTTCTTCTTTTGTCACGTTTGCCTTTAATCTGGGATCAATTTGTGGGATTAAATTATGAAAAACAATGTTTGTTTTTGTGTTAAAACTTAAAATCTTTGAAAGATTAAGAACTTAGTTGAAAGATATTCACTTGTGCTCGGTTGGTGTACAATGGCTGCATGTCCCTCAATTCAGCCAAGCCATCACTGTAATACTTCACTGCAGTTTCATAGTCTTCTTGAGCGTAAGCTTCATTTCCCTTGTCTTTGAATACTGCAGTGACACAAATGGTATACAACATTTAAGCGCATATAATCGGTAGCCCAACAGAGCAGCAATTGTTCACCTCCAACAGCATTTTTAAGGAACAGAGAATAACACACCGGTTGCCTTGTTTGCTTTTGCAGTCCTCCTTACGCTCCTGTCTTCAGCATCTCTCTCAATAATCTTCATGAAATTCTCTGGTGTACAAGGATGAGTGTACAAGAGACATATTGGGGAAAAAGGTAATACAAGCTTTTAAGATCACTACAGTTCTCAGTGATTTATGTGCTAAATGCTCACCTAGAGATGGCTGCTATTTGCTCCCACACATAGTCATATGTATTTCTACAGTGTAGGGCCTTGGTGGCTAAACAGTCAGTACTACAAGTCTCCTATCCACTAAGAATTGTAAGAGGCCTCCAGACAGACAAACCAACAAAAAGACATCACTCATGTCCAATCATTCATTTCCTCTAATCCGTAGTAGAGCACTCCTTGCTATGACAGACTGACAGTTTGATAAGGGAGTGAAACGTCTGCCAACTAAATTGACAAAGATATCACAAAAGGTAGGGGCATCTGAACCGGTCTGAGCAGGCAAGTGGCAGATAGCGCGAAACATAGACACCCTTGAAACTAAAATTCCAGAGGACCACTCTCAGTGTTGCAAATGACACACTTTGTACCACATCTCTCTTCCTACTATAGCACATGGCGAAGTCACAAACATGCTAAACAGAGGCAGTTGAAGACCTACTTACTTAAAAACACATAAAAGTTATATTTATTGCTGTATTTTGTTTGGCTCAGAGAAACATTTCACATTGTTATGCACAATGAGGACATACAAGTCTCCTTAAATGTTTCGATTTAGTGCAAGGGACAACCAGATAATCTGCTCACCTGGATTTTCATTCTGCAGATCCTGTAAAACAGGGAAATAATAATTAAAGAGAATGTTAACAAAAAGCTACCTAGTCTCTACTACTGTTGTACATTGCCTTGTCCCTTCTCGCATGACCAGAAATGACAAGGTAGACAACACAACAAGAAGTTGCTGGTTGTGCTCTGTGTGTTGTTTTGGAGGGACAGAGACGGCAACAGAGAGCGAGACAGAGTGAGAAAGATAGCGAGCGAGAGGAGGAATCCAGCTGTACTTGGGTGACTTTGTGTGCATGTCTTTACCAAGGAAGTCTGAAGTGGCGGGTTTGTGTTGATTGTAGTCTTGTTGACTATCGTCCTGCAGGGTTCATCCAAGGCAGCGATATAGCAATCAGCTGTCTCTATTGCTTTTTGCTGGACTTCGACGTCAGAGGAATTTAGGTCCTTCACTAGCTCACCTGAAAATAATTAATGTTGTAAAAAAGTACTATTTAAATACTTTGATTATCAACATTGTTTATTTCTACATACTTCCATGGTTACCTTGCAACTGAAGGGTTACAGAAAACATTACGTCATTCAGATATCTGTTAGCTATGGCGTTTATACGGTTAACTGCTATACTACTCACTTATTTTGTCAACATTCTTCAAAAAACTCTCGAGGTCTTGAAGTTTGTCCATCGTACTTTGCCCTTTCAAGCCTGCTTTTGTTATTGAATACGGTAGCCTCTCCACGGCTGGAGCTAACGAGGCTAACGTACTAGTTTACACCAACGATAACTAGAGCTAACGTTTGTTAGCAGTGTCTATGCTAGTTTATTAGCAATGTTAGCCGCCATGTAGACTGTGACAGGAGTGGGTTTAAAACCAACATGGCGGAAGTATTGCAACACGCGGAGCGAGCCACATCCTGGCATTTGGTGCGTGCTTGGCTTGATGTGAACTTTGAATTGGAACAGTACTTGGGCTGAGCCTGATGACGTTTCAAAAGTCCACGAGTTCACAAGTACAGAGAAGTAAGGCCCGATATGTAGCGTGTAGCTCTTCTCTAACGCTACATTTACTTCACACGGACTTTAGTCACAAGTCTCAGCGTTGAGTTTCCATAGGGACGTGATGCCTTCACTGCCGCTCGTAAACTTGTACGCTAAACTTAAAACCGCACACTGTTGTTATGCGACAGTGTACCGCAGTGGCTGATATTGAAAGAAAAGTGGAAATCGGTGGAGTTGTATTTTGACTACCCCAGGTTGTATACGCAGAACAACTACGAAGGAACGAAACTAAACTTAATGTCGTTGTTGTTCACCAAAATGTGTCACTTACCAATTATTTGTCACATAGACATAAGGGAAGTGAAGTATACACATTTGTTTATCTGAGCTTCATGACAGCACCTGAAGGCAGCACTTCTCATCTTGAATTTATGTGGTCACATTTTCCCTCAATCCAAATCAACACAGCTGTCAAACTTATATTTAGAAATCAATATAAATAGTTTTATGGCTGCCATTAGTCTTAGATATCTCGTTCATGAGACTGAAAAGTGTTTCAGGGGCTCCGTTTCCCTGCATATATATTCTGTGCTTCCATACTGTTCTGTGAGGCCAGTACAGAGTGTCCAACGAATCTGTGTTTCTCCTCAACACTTTAATGAACCGGCTTTTAATTAAAGTGACCATCTTCCTATTTAAGGGCATACTACACTCTATTACACTACAGTAATAGATCAACACTGCCTCCTTGTGGTTAAAGACACATAAAAAGACAAGGCTATGCAGACACTTTTCTAAAATCACACTTTTCAAACACTTTTCTCCTCATTATATGGTAAATGAACATTTAATGTCGCCAAAACTTTTAGAAAGAGTAAGAGATGACTTAAAAATATGAAAAAAAATACACAGTGAGTAAATGAAGAATTGAATATAGACCGAATATGAGTTGTTCTTACCATTTGTTATCAAAACCAAGTTAGTTGGTCAATTTGGGTCATATTAGTCACATAAAAAAGGATTGAGAAGATGAATATTATTTAAAAAGCAATGCATGTTAAATATCCAGTTGTACATTTTTTTCCAAAAAGTCACCATAGCTACAGGGTCTGTGAAGTGACTGCCAAGCCAAGTGAAATGTTGGGCATCTTTATCTCCCTGTAGTGACCAACGAGTCTATTTACACTCCAAGCAACAAACTCTTTAAAGGATGACGGATGATGGAAAAAGCCAGAGGGGCCCATCAGTGGAGGAACAGTGGTTTTGGTCTTTTGGATTGTTTTGTACCGAGACCAACAAGAAAACAAAATGATGATATGGTCGAAATGCCAAATTACTAATCTCAGGAATGTGTATATCTATCCATCCATCCATTTTCCACCGCTTATCCGGGGTCGGGTCGCGGTGGCAGCAGGTCAAGCAGGCCCACCCAGACCTCCCTCTCACCGGCAACATGTTCCAGCTCATTCTGGGGGATCCCGAGGCGTTCCCAGGCCAGCTGGGAGATGTAATCTCTCCAGCGTGTTCTGGGTCTTCCCCGCGGTCTCTTCCCAGTTGGATGTGCCTGGAAAACCTCCAGTGGGAGGCGTCCAGGAGGCATCCTAATTAGATGCCCGAACCACCTCTTCACCAAGACGGTCCGGTGCAGCGCCTGCTTTACTGCTGCAGCTGCACCAATCCATCTGTCGATCTCCCGCTCCATCTTACCCTCACTCGTGAACAAGACCCCGAGATACTTGAACTCCTTCGCTTGAGGTAGGCACTCCGTCCCCACCTGGAGGGAGCAATCCACCGGTTTCCGGCAGAGAACCATGGCCTCAGATTTGGAGGTGCTAACTCTCATCCCCGCCGCTTCACACTCGGCTGCAAACCGCCCCAGTGAATGCTGGAGGTCACGATCCGAGGAGGCTAACAGGACCACATCATCTGCAAATAGCAGAGAGGCGATCCCGAGACCCCCGAAACTGACGTTCTCCGCCCCCAGGCTGCGCCGAGATATCCTGTCCATGAAAATCACGAACAGGACCGGTGACAAAGGGCAGCCCTGGCGGAGGCCAACACCCACCGGGAACGTGTCTGACTTATTGCCGAGAATGCGGACACAGCTCCTACTGCAGTCGTACAGAGACCGGATCGCCCGTTGTAACGGGTCCGGCACCCCATACTCCCGCAGCACCCCCCTCAAGACCCCCCGAGGGACCCGGTCGACTGCCTTCTCCAAGTCCACAAAGCACATGTAGACTGGTTGGGCAAACTCCCAGAACCCCTCCAGTAGTCTTGCGAGGGTAAAGAGCTGGTCCACTGTTCCACGGCCGGGACGGAATCCGCACTGCTCCTCTTGAATCTGAGGTTCGACAAGCGGTCGGAGCCTCCTTTCCAGCACCCTGGCATAAGCCTTCCCTGGGAGGCTGAGTAGTGTGATACCCCGGTAATTCGAGCACACTCTCCGGTCCCCCTTTTTGAAGATGGGAACCACCACCCCGGTCTGCCATTCCATGGGCACTGATCCCGACCCCCATGCGACATTGAAGAGGCGTGTCAGCCAGGACAGCCCAACTATGTCCAGCGCCTTTAGCATCTCAGGGCGGATCTCATCCACCCCCGGCGCCTTGCCACCAAGGAGCTTTTTAACTACCTCAGTGACCTCTGCCAGGGATATGGGTGAGCCTCCCCCTAGGTCCTCAGGCGCTGCCTCCTCTGCAGAGGACATGTTGGTCGGGTTTAGGAGTTCCTCAAAGTGCTCTTTCCACCGCCCGACGATGTCCTCCGTCCGGGTTAGCAGTTCCCCCCCCCTGCTGAGAACAGCCTGGGGTAAGCCCTGCTTTCCCTTCCTGAGCCGTCGGATGGTTTGCCAGAACCTCCTTGAGGCCAACCGAAAGTCCTTCTCCATGGCCTCCCTGAACTCCTCCCATGCCCAAGTTTTAGCATTCGCGACCACCGCAGCTGCAGCCCTTCTGGACTGCCTGTACCCGTCAGCTGCTTCAGGAGACCCCTGGGCCAACCAGGCCTTGAAGGTCTCCTTCTTCAGCTTGACGGCTTCCCTCACCTCCGGTGTCCACCACCGGGTTCTCGGGTTGCCGCCACGACAGGCACCGATGACCTTCCGGCCACAGCTCCTAGCGGCCGCGTCCACAATAGAGGCTTTGAACATGGTCCACTCGGATTCCGTGTCCCCAACCTCCCTCGGGATGTGTGAGAAGTTCTTCCGGAGGTGGGAGTTAAAGACCTCCCGGACAGGGTCCTCCGCCAGACGTTCCGAGTTCACCCTCACTACACGTTTGGGTTTGCCGGGTCTTTCCAACCGGTTCCCCTGCCATCTGATCCAACTCACCACCAGGTGGTGATCAGTTGACAGCTCTGCTCCTCTCTTCACCCGAGTGTCCAAGACATACGGCCGCAGATCAAATGATACGATTATAAAGTCGTTCATTGATCTCCGGCCTAAGGTGTTCTGGTACCAGGTACACTTATGAGCCAACTTATGTTCGAACATAGTGTTTGTTATGGCCAAACCGTGGCAAGCACAGAAGTCCAATAACGAAACACCATTCGGGTTCAGATCAGGCAAGCCGTTCCTCCCAATCACCCCCCGCCAGGTTTCTCCGCCATTGCCCACGTGAGCGTTGAAGTCCCCCAGGAGAACTATGGAGTCGGTGGGAGGGGTCCTGGAAAGGGCGCCGCCTACCGACTCCAAGAAGGCCGGATACTCTGAACTGCTGTTTGGTGCATAAGCACAAACCACAGTCAGAGCCTTACTCCCCGCAACCCGTAGGCGCATGGAGGCGACCCTCTCGCTCTCCGGGGAGAACTCCAACACAGCGGCGCTCAGCCGGGGGCTCCTGAGTATCCCCACTCCCGCCCGGCGCCTCTCACCCTGGGCAACTCCGGAAAAGGACAAAGTCCAACCTCTCTCCAGGAGCTTGGTTCCAGAGCCAACGCTGTGTGTGGAGGTGAGTCCAACTATTTCTAGCTAGTATCGCTCCACCTCCTGCACCAGCTCCGGCTCTTTCCCCGCTAGCGAGGTGACGTTCTACGTCCCTAGAGCTAGTCTATGCCGCTGGCGATCGGCATGCCCGGGCCTCCCGCCCGACCCACCGCCCGGTCTGCATAGCACCCGACCCCGATGCTTGTCCCTGTGGGTGGTGGGTCCACAGGGTGGCTGCTCCATGGTGTTTATTCGGGCTGAGCCCGACCGGGCCCCATGGGCAAAGGCCCGGCCACCAGACGCTCGCCTACGAGCTCCCCTCCTGGGTCTGGCTCCGGGAGGGTGCCCCGGTTTCCCTGGTCCGGGCGAGGTGGCTGTAGTCCGTGGGCTAACTATCATAGGGGTCGTTTTGAACCGCTCTTAGTCTGGGCTCTCCCCTGAAACCTGTTTGCCTTGGGAGACCCTAACAGGGGCTAATGCCCCGGACAACATAGCTCCCAGGATCACTGAGCCACTCAAACTCCTCCACCACGATAAGGTGGCGATTCGCGGAGGAGCAGATAATAATTATTAGCATATGCAATCAAGTAAGTTAGTATCAAACATTAATATTTGTATAATCTGTAAATTTAAATTTTATATTTGAGTACATTTGCAAATCAACTTTTCTACTTCTTTGAAAGCATAAACTAAACATATTTTTGGATATAAACCACATACGTACATGATTCATTACCTAGAAGAGTTGTACTGTCATTCAGATTTGATTAAGGCCGTTATTAAAGGAAACCTCCTCAATTAAAGTTGTGGTCAGCTGTTGGATGAGGAAAGACATTGCACCCAGTTACTTCTAAAAAACACACTGTGCAGAACAAGCATTGGGCAACATCATTTGGCACAACTGGACTTCATGAAGTGTCCTACAAAGCAATGGGAGCAATGACTTCATCCCTCAAAAAGTGCTCAGCTCACAGCTAGATTTCAGTCAACAACAACCCCAGACAGTGAAGCTCTTTATCCTCACGTACAAAAAGCAAATGAGGATGAAAACATTCCAGTGAAACAAAACACTGAGCATCCTCACTTGCCATTCACTTGGATCTTGTTTTTGAAATATTCAGCAGCAGGCAAAGAGAGATCACAGCCAAATACTTGAACAGTGATGTCCACGCAAAAGCATCTTGTCGATGAAATACATTTATAATTGCTCTTAAAATAAAGCAATAGTGTAGAATTCAATGTCCAGCTGCTGCCTGTGCATTGGTGTCAGATTAATTAACAGAGCTTTGAAACTTCATTGTTCACGTCATCTTTTGCGAAACAACTGCTACTCTGCAATATGTTTAGATTGAAGCAGGACCGAATGTATAGAGGTATTTCTGTGACGGCTACAGACAGGCTTTTTCTGTGGCCAGACTCCAACTGCTGTGGATGCCATAGTGTCGTGTCTCAGAGGACGACAGATGCAGGCAGCACAATGCTGCCACTGATTAATTGCTTCTCTCTTTATCTGATTTTCCACAAAACATTGGCTCATGGCTCCAGTCTTTCTTCTGTGGTTATCTCCAAAGATGAACCCCACATTAAAACTGCACCACAAGTTAAAATTAGTTTCTAGTTTGGCGATGCTAACCCTTTTAAAACTTTATGCCAGTGAAGTGAACATGCCAGTATAACTGACATAGACTGTACAAAGTGTCCATTTAACAATCTTTTTTTATTTGGTTTTATACAGAAAATTACAGTAAGTCCAACAAAAATTGCTGAACAATAGAAATGAGGTATGATGATCCTTCCTTTCATCACTCATCTTCTCCTTGCTTTTATCCTTTTGTTCCTGTTTGTTCATTCAATGATGCCAAATGTAGGAGGCATTCATGGCACTTTTCCTAACAAAGTTTAAAAAGTGCTTAATAAGGAAAGTAAAACAAAAAAGTAAAAGAGCAAATGCAAGTAAAAGCAAGAAATGGTGGCGGATCAAATTGAATAAATGCAACATAAAATGAAAGTATTTGTATTACTGCTATCTCAAGTAAATTTTAAAGACAGATACTTCAGAAATTATTACAATACATGAGATATTATGATTAAAAACAACATACAGTATGTCCTCCTGTCCGCTACTCTTTTTAGGCTATATGTGAAATGTTATTTCTGAAGTACTGAAGTCAGGCAACAAATCTCTAAGAATCAACAGCAAGACCTTGAACCAGGTGAACCACGTCTTCATCTATGCCTAACTCAAACTCCCTGAAAGTGAACATTTGGCTCTTAAAGTCCACTGTCATATGCGGATCAGACATTTCCTTGCCCATCTGATTGGCACTACAAGTGAGACAGGATAAATGGAGATTGCCATTGTACCTGGTGCACAACCAGTCAGCTGTGCCCTCTCAGGGGAAGGCTGGTGTCATGTACTCGAGCAGATCCATGTGAATCTATAAGTTGGAAGTGGGAAAATATACTCAATCAAGAAAATAATTAACTTGAATAGCATTGATTACAGTATTGTGCTGCTGTGTAGCTATAAAGATATATATATATATATATATATAAATAAATAAATTATTTATATATACAGCGGACAAAAATGATATCTCAAATACTGAAAAATGATTGATGACATTGACTTACCATAAATCCTCTAATAATAATCACTACGACATTTGTTTGCCATGAGCAAACAAGTGGCATCATTATTGCAGAAAAATCCAGCTGAATAAGTGATTGTAATCATGAGTATTATCTTCAAAAGGAGGAACTGTGAGGATCTGTGATCGAGTATGTGAAAAATTAAGTGAGTTTGCTTCTTGGTGTCTGTCCACAGCTAACCTTGCCCAGTTATGGCTGCATGCTCAATGAACTTGTGGGTGCGGTAACTCAAACTTCTTCAAAACACCTTTTATTACCTGTTTTGTACTGTCATTGACTGCCTGCTGACTCCTCACTCACTAACCAGCCACGCGGTCTGTAGGGGCCGCTAGTGATAACACAGCTGAGGGCATCTGAAACCACCAGCCCACGCTCACAGGGGTGAAACAACAGTGTGTTTGGCTCACAGCTAAAGGACACATACTGCTGTGTACCTGTCGGCTAACCACGAATAGCAAACACACACTAATTGACCTCGCTGCAACTCAGCTGCTGCTAAGTGGGCAGACTGGTTGGTGAGGGTAATTTAGTTTTTGTAAAGATTGTATGATGATTCTTACACGACAACTTCGAGCTGATTGATTGCATACATCCTCACCTGTTTCTGAATTTGAAAAAAGTGTTTTATGAGGCCTTACAGCCCATTGGGTGGCTAGACAGGGGGTTGTTGTGGCAAAATGACGAGAAGAGACGGCGAACTGAAGTCTGCAACCAGCGGGAAGTGTTTTAATAAGATCAAACCAACATCAACCAGTTTAGCATATCGAAACAAATCCAAATGTATTACTTTTCACAGATCACTTTTATAGTCAAGATTCACCCCCCTTAAGTTACTTTCCATCAATCAAACCAGTCCTTTGAACCAAAAACAAAGCACATCTGGCCTCTTTATTATGTCATGTTCTCATGACTTTGATTGGGTTAGCTTAACCTTTTGGCAGAACACACGACTCTTTCACAGGAAATGTTTTAGTAAGATTGGAGAGATTTATTACAATTTGTCTTGCGCTTCCTCATCACTTCCTAAGAATGTTTCTATGTGCCAGAATGTGTTTTACATAACACGTTATATAAACTGTTTACTTGTGAAGCCAAATGTGTTCAGTTCAATCTTAAGTTATATGATGATTTTCTTCAACGGGGTTAGCCAACTGTGGGTTGTATTCATTCAATCACACAATACAGCAGTCGTCGTCAAAGACACACTTGGCAGAGATCTGCACTCTACAGAGTGTTGCGTTTTAGTCTAAACTGCACTGCCACAACTCATCAGAATGCATGCTGATGAGACGAAGATCTTACTTGAAGAGCATGAACAAGGTCTGCAGAAGATGCTTAATGCTGTGGCTAATGGTGCTGGAAGTGGAGACTAGATGCAAGAAGTGCCGTTATTTCATGATGCCTGTCACATCCTTATGTATGGAACAAAGATGTTCTGTTGATGTTCTGTGCATAAATTACCAAATAAATGATTGTCTGATCAAAAACAACTACAGACTTATGTAAAGCAGAATTTAACAAAAAGTCAAAGTACCAGTAGTTTAAGATGCCCATTTGAAGTTGTATTCTTCATTCTATGACAATTTAAGGGCTACATTTTTAAATAAAATATCCTTAATATTCTTCATTTCTTAGTTATTCTGGTTAGATGATTATAAAAAAGAAAACTGAGTTGTGTTTTAGGAAGGAGACTTTTTTATTTGTCAAGCTTGATACCTTTCTTATATACAGTCTATGCTTGGTACAGAAGACAAAGTTCTTTGTTTGCAATGTGACGTTAAACATAAGAATTCATGTTCTGTACAAGTTTCTCAAGCCAATAAAACCCGAGTTTCATGAGAAACCCAAAAAGCCTCCATCATCACAGTCTTTTTTTCTCTCCTCGGGCTGCTCACATAGCTGTTAGTCTTATACTCTCAAACCACACCCATTACTGATAAAAGGCTGTGGGTCTCAAACACCAGCAGCCATTGGATCCAGACTTTGACTGACAAAGCTTACAGAGAGCAACTATGGAAAGAGGCCAGACCCGTGATGTGGCTCCATCCTACCTTGGATGGTCCATCTTTAACACTTTATGCTGTTGTTGGCCTCTTGGGATTGCTGCTTGGGTCTTCTCCTGTCGGGTAGGTAACTTTTCCTGAACATAATTGTTTGATCTTCATCTGCTGCTTTGTACTTCTGTATTCTAAGAGATGTCCTAAATTCAAAAACTACACAAAACCCTTTTAGTGTTTTGCAACATTGTACATTTTTTAAACAGCAAGCTATCTCATCTGCGAAATTTCAAGTTTGAGCCGTCAAGAGGGTACTTCGTAGTGATGAAGGTTGACTGACATGCTCATATTCCAGTCAGATTCACTTTCATACTGTAATTGATGAACTAATTTTCTTTCTAAACTTTATTTTTAAAGGCACAAAATGCTGAAGCTCTCGGGGAATCAGCTGAAGCTGAGGATGCATCAAGGACAGCCAAGATCCTTAATATTCTTGCACTTGTCTTTGGAATAATTTTCCTCATCATAATCATCACTCTCAAAGTCAATTCCTAATGGTGAAGACAACATTGGTGGTGCCCGTGTTGGAATCTCAGTAAAGCTCTTGTTATTATGAACTTCCCCTCCTCCCTGCATGTGTGTGTGCACACAAAAAGGTTGTATACGTGTTTGTGTATTGCCTACAAAACATCCCAGGAATTTTAATACACTGCTTGTGGTGGCGAAAGCCAAAATAAACATGATTTGTATAAGGAGAAAACGTTTTTGTTGTTTTAAAAAATAATAATAAACAACTCTACCAAATTTTGCCTTTCTCTGTGGCTCATGTGGGACATATAATATTTAGCATTATGATTGTAACACTTTAGAAGTACCTTACTTCATTATGACAATAATATAATGATATGGGTAGTTGTATATTTTGCTACATTTACTTTATGCTGGGTAATGTATCAATATGTTGCAACAATAGGCAATTACTGGGGGAGGATTGTGTGTCCTGCTCATCTGAAAAACAAGTTCTTATCACACAGAGCATACAGCATGCTCATTTCATGGATGAAAGGTAGTCCCTGTAACCGGGCAAATAGATGTTGATTCCATCTTCCAGGAGATAATTAATTGTGTGTGTGTGTGTGTGTGTGTGTGTGTGTGTGTGTGTGTGTGTGTGTGGGTCTCACTCCCCCCCTCCCCATTCTAGCCTGTGAGAATAGATGAGATGAACTGTGCCTCGCATGGAAAGTAGACGAGAGCAGGGGTAGCAGGTGACGTTGAAAAAAACTGCGGTTAAGTCAGAAAATGTTCAGCTGCCTTGAAAGAATAAACAGGAAGTCAAATAAACAGTTACATCCTGTTAGATCCGTTCTGTAGGCTGCTTGTAATTTACAGACCTCATTCAGATTTATTCATGTATGTTTGTAAATATACAGTAGGCCTATATTTATGTGAAAATATGCGTTTATCTGCATTGTATGCCTTTGTTCTTTTTATGTCTGCCTGGGAAACACATTGATGCTCATTTTGATATGTATTGTATAAGTAAGCTTTATTATTATCAATCACATAAGATATGTTTTTAGCTTAAACCTGAGACTAATAGCCAACAATCTAGCATTAAGTATTAGCATTACACAGAAAATTAGGATTTTCTGCTGAACGTGGTGTTTGTGGTCAAATCTAAGAGCCAATCAGCTCTCTGATCTGGCAACAGCCAGGCGTTTCCCATCATGCTTTGGGGTCATGGCTCTAAAAACTGCGGCCGCCTCGCTCTCATGAGGTTACTGTTGCCCACGTGTTCATGACGTCAGAGCAAGTCGGGATCAAGTCGGACACAAATCTAAACTGCATGCATTGGCTTTGCTGTTGTCACATGTAGTAGTAGTACCCACTGTGGGGAGAGACATTCTGGCTGTGCATATAAGCCCTTAATAAGCGCGTGAAATTCTGGCTAGCTCTGAATCCTGAATCTGAAGAGGAGAGTTTCTCCCCCGGATTTTGGATCAGACACTTTGAAGCACTGGTGGACTATAAGAGACTTTAGGCCTGGTCTATTTTAATTATTTAATCTATTATATTTTAATAAACTGTATTAATAAAAGACTAAAATCCATGTGCTGTCCTGGACAGAGTGTGCAGTAGAAATTCGTATGGAGAACAAATTCAGGGTTTAACCCCAGCTACACATCTGCCCATAAGGTCTTGTCACCTGTATAGAAACTTTTTTCTGTCTTATCCTCAGAGGCGAAGACATTGTCTCTCTGAGGCTAAGAAACAAGTGTTTGTGTATTCCTCCCATGCCGCTTGCAATAGAGAACTTTGGTGTTTTTCTTCTTTCAAATAGAAGAGTTTCCCTCACATGGAGCTTTTCTCTCTCAAAAGTAGTTCAAGGTGGGTTAGAAGAGACATTTCTCTGTGCTTCCTCTGTAGTTCCCCAACTTCCTGTTTGCACAACAAGAGACATGCAAGAGCTCTGGTTACTCTCCGACTCACAAATGATTTCCTGCCACTCTTGCACAATACTGACAACTACTAAAGAACAATAAAAAATGACATGTTTACAGTGCTATAACAAATGAATGTAATTAGATGAAATATTCTGTTCTTACATCTTCAGACAGCAATCCTCTGCTTGGTTTGTGAAACCTGTAAAGCAGGGAGGCAGCATGAGAGTCTGAAAGAGTCCTCTTTAAAACTCCTGAAGCGGGCTCTTGGTCCTGTAAGACACACAAATTGTCTTCCTGTCCAGAGGAGGGCACACCTAGTTTGGCCTGAAACAGTTCCCCCAGACATTCCTGCAGTATCTGTGATATAAAATTAAACGGAACAAAAAAATGAAATTGTCCCTAAAGACATCACATTAAAAGTAAACCCATTAAAAAAACGAAACTAGATAAGCGGGAATTACAAATTTAAGCTTTATTTGAAATCAAAATGTTAACTCACATCTCCAGAATTTTCCCAAACCGTAAATGATTCACGGACACTTTGAGTGTTTGTCTGTACCTTGAAGAAAAGCCTCTGGAAGGCAGGACTGGAGTCAGAGCTCATGTCTTTAATCCTGACATGGGACAGACAGTGGAGCAGCAGCAGAGAGAAGCCTCCAACTGACTGGAGCCTCTGGCGACGGACAAAGAGCGTCTCCTCTGCCTCCTGTCAACAGAGCAATCATTTACTGTAACACATTACAGCTGTACAAAGACATACGCATGCATCATTCAGTGATTTAAAAAAAAAAAAGCACTGGGCCACATTGATTTCTCTGTACAATATGTTTTGCCTTTTTGAAAGGAAATTAAAGGATTAGTTTGGCATTAAAGTTTTATGATTAACTGGAATATATAAATGAGGAAACACAGCAAATGGCCACTAGATTTCCGATGCGAGGGTCCTGGGACAGAGGATGTCGTACGTTGTACAGGTTATAAAGCCCTCTGAGGCAAATTTGTGATTTTTGGCTGTAAAAAATGAATTGAATAAATTATAAGAGTTGAATGCTGTGTAAATCAAACCTGTCAACATAAGCAGTAGATATGAATCAGTGATACACTGCCAATATTGTAATCTCTTTCATTTCAAGCCCTTGTTCAGGCTATCGCATGAAAGTGTTACCTACAGTGTGCAGGTGGTTTCCTCAGGAAGTGTGAATCTCTCTAAAGGAATCTTAAACAGGGAAACAAACTGTATAACCCTGAGCCCATGCAGAAAACCTGAAGGCTGTGGAATTGCAGTTTTTGTACTGATTTGTTGGGTCTGTTAGTCTGACCTCTCTCCCCTACGAGCAGAGGGCGAACAGAGTCTTTTGTGTCCAGAGATCAGCAGGGCTGAACAGGCTGTTCTATAAAGCCTTTCACTTACGAGACTCAACACTGAATTGCCCCTTGAGGACTCCAAAAAGATGTAGCAGCAAGAGATAGACACAGCAAGCTGCTGTTGTGGTGTTGCACGAGCTGTTTGCCTTTCATTTTAAGGTACTGAGAAAGTTTGGTCGGAGTGCAGATAGAAGTGATGCTGGTTTGTTCCACTTTTCCTTACTTTCTGCATTGATAGTCCTCACTTTAGATGAGGTCACACTAAATACTAACGACTAGTAACCACCTGAATTAATCATGAATTGCAGTATTAATACGCATTTATAAAGTATATATAAACATAGTCCCTAACCATTATTGCATATCTAAATCATTATATATATAAATGCATGAATAATGTACATCTAAATAAGTTCTCAATCATTTACTAAATAAATTATGTTATTAATCATCTGGAACTCCTTAATAATTGGTTTTTAATATATATAATACTTCATTTACAAATGGGGAATCCATCATTTATAAAGTACAAAAACACATAATAGACGAGCTTATTAATCAAGAATAAAACATTTATAGCTGTTGTTATGAATTGTATACTAATGAGTGTTAATGTAGGAACAATGCTTTACAAATGATGAATTAAGTGTTTACTCATACTTAATAGCGTGTAGTTATTTACAAGTGCTTTGCAGACACAGTATTATCACCCAGCACACAACCAAATAGAAGTACAACCAGGTAATATGTCATCTTCAAAAATTCTGTGGTATTGGAAGTATTTCTTACATCCAACTCTATGATATTTCGTGGGGTTTCATTTAATATGCGTGTCCACTTTATTGGTTGTGTTATAGTGGCATCACTCGTGACTTTATTAGTCAGTTCATTATCTTGTTATGTCACGCACAATATTAACAAATTGCACTAAATTGTACTGAACAACATGAGGAAAATCTCAAATTACACTCACAGAAAAAAAGCTCAAATGTACCTGATAAAAGAAGGAATTTCTGAAGGCGTTGTTGAAGTAGTTGTTGTTTGGGAGACTAGCTGCAATCTGAAGTGAAATGGCTGGAGTCTGTTGGAAAAGAGAACAATCCAAGCCTTTTTTATTACAATATTCTCACTGAAGCTCAGCCCATAAAAACAAAAAGCAATTATTGAAAGTGTGTAACAGGGAATGACACCAAGAAAACACAACAAGATTACCAGTGAAAGTATTTCAAGTAGTTATTTCAAGATGAGATTTAAGGGATGAAATCAGCTAACTCTTAAGGAAGGTCAGTTTAAAGCCCTAGAGCTTTCACACCAAACGCCAAGCCACCTTTGGTCTTTAACTGGGATACAGAGATAGTTAGAGGGTTTCCTGCCCGAGTACTTCAGGCTGCACAGAGGCTCAAAATTAAAATTATAAAAATAGCCTCAAAATTAAACTAAGAATAAGTAATGAGGTTGAAAATAACCAGCACCAACCAGTTTTAGATTATGCAATGTGTGCATCAGGAATAGTCCGTGCTGGTAAACCAAAAACTCTCTGGGGTTAAGGACTGACAGGTCCAAAGGGATCAGCTCTCCCTCACATTCCCACTGAGCATCAAGGACGTCTAGGAAACTCTTGCCTCTGTCTGGACAAAACACAGAACATGAAGGTTGTTGTATAGTACAGGCCATTACTTACTGTACAGTAATAGCTCCAAACTCTTGGGAGAAAAGATGACAAATCTAAATTTGCCATTTTTTTAGTAAACATATGCCAACTGAGTGATTTATGTCGAGACATCTTTACTCAAGTTTACAGCTATGACTGTCTCAAACACAGGAACCTACAGTATGAACCACAAATCTGTCAAATTTGTTGTTAACCTTGAAAAACAACAAGGTTAACATTAGAGACTGGTTTTCTTTTTTAAGTTTTTCTGGTTGTTGGTCCAAAAAATACACAAATACTTGAGGGTAATATCTTTATATGTTACACATGCAACTAATTAAACCTAAGGGAGTTATTGCAACAATCTCATCATGCTTATTTCTAGCAGCTGTCACTTCATGTTCTCACAAGTGGGTGGTGTTTTCATGCTACAATCTGCTTGTCGACACTAGTAAACCACAAGTTCAACTGAGGTTGGCTTAGTTTCACAGGTTGTGATCTTAAAATATTCGGCAGTTTGATGATGAACCTGATGATGGCACTAGATGAAATGTTGGATCCTCAAACATATTTCAATTGATACAGTGGGCAACATAAATGTTCGTCGCAAATTTAATGAAACTTCATCCAAACAAGACATTTCACTTAAAACCACAAATGTCAAACTCGTGGTGGCATTAAAGTAAAAGTCAGAGGATCACCGAAGTCAGTAGACTTCATCTTCTGAGGACCGTGAATGTATGTGCAAAATGTCATGGCAAGTCATCTAATATTTGTTGAGACATTTTAGTCTGAACCAAAGTGGTGGAAAGACAGACTGACCTTGTTTTCCTTAGAATCAGGCCACTAATGTGTGCAATAAAATAGTTACACCAGAATCTATTTTATTTAAAATAGCATATGCCTAAACACTTGAGGTTCAGAAAATGAGTACCATCTTGGCTTTATTAGGGCTCTGGAAGCAAGAAAATAAGATGGTTACAAAAACATGCAGGCATCTAAATACACAATATGTACAGATGCATGAACAGATGAAATTACTAACGTTATTTATTTAGGTAACATGTGTAATTTCGTTAATTGTTGTGACAGCAACATTCATCTTTAACATGATAATGCTTATCACCACATACAGCCATCTGAAAACCATAGGTATTATCTGCAGTCTCTAACTGGAGGTAAGTGGCGTACTGTCAAGTTACAAAGTTGCATTTGGTGCAGCCAGCATCAAACTATTGCAAAATAACCACAGAAACCTCCGTGCACGTCTTATGTGCACATCGAACATGTTGTTCTGAGTTATCATTCTACACTGTTTATTCTCCACATCAATCATGTTGGAGACTGAAGCGTTGAAAACTGTTCACACAGCTTCAAGAAAAATTATGAATCGAAACTTAAAACTCTCTCAGGACTTTCTGATTCCCTCCCATACCCAAATGCGCCACAGGTGCACTACGGGAGCATGGCCACGAAACTGCAGGG